CTTTAGGTCTAAAATGAGTCTCTTATAGACAGCATATAGATGGGTCTTGTTTTTTTATCCATCTGACACCCTATGTCTCTTGATTAGAGCCTTTAGTCCATTTACTGAGAACATTTTTTAGTCCATTTACTGAGAATATTTTTTAAACTACAAATATATAATGGCATATGTCAAATATTTTAGTGCATTTTTTGAGATTATTGTATTCATTTCTCAATTAATGTAGTGAATTATGTTAAAAGATTTTGGATTTTAAACCAACCTGGCATTCTTGCATTCCCACTTGATTATGATGTTCTTTCCTTTTTACATATTGCCAGCTTTGATTTGCTAATATTTCATTAAGGTTTTATGTCTCTACATTTACCAGAAATATTGGTCAGTAGTTTTTTTCTCATAAAATACTCAACTTTTGACATAAGTTTATACTTGCTTTACAAAATTAATTAGAAATTGTTCTCTCTTCAATTTTCTGAAAGATAATGTGACATAAAATTATCTCTTCTTCATTAAATGTTTGATAAAAATCACCAGTTAAATTATCTGGCCCCAGGTTTTTTTGTGTGATGATGAGGTGAAGGGTTTTGGAAATAAACTTCATTTCCTTAATAGATACAGATTATTTTTCTATTTTTTGAGGCAATTGTAAGTTATCTTTTCTAAGTAATTTTCGATGTTATCTAAGGTGTCAAATTTACTGATATAGTTTTCATAATGTTCCTTACTATATTTTTAACATCTGTAGGATCTTTGATGACATCCTGCTTTCATTTCTGATATTGGCATTTGTTTGCTCACTCATATGCATTCTCTCTCTCTCTTTGAATCGTCTCTATCTCTATCTCTACTTCTATCTCTTCTTGTCTTCCTAGTTACATCAAGTGTGTTAATATTTTCAAAGAACCTACTGTTTATTTTTGTTAATTTCTCCATTGTTTGTATTCTATTTCATTGATTTTTGCTCTTATCTTTGTTATTTCCTTCCTTCCATTTAATTTGGGTTTATTTTGCTATTTTTCTAGTTTCTTGAGATAAGAATGTAGATTATTGATCTGTGAACTTTCCTTTATTGTAATGTGAGAATTTTAATGTAGACATTTTCTTTACAAATTACTTTATCTGTAGATACCCCATCCCCTCCCATTGGCATGCTATATTTTTTTTTATTTTTATATAGTTGAAATATTTTTCTCTAATTTTTTCATGATTTCTTTTTATTTTTTAATATAATTATACTTTCATTAGAAATCATACTCTATAAGAATTCTATCTTTTGGAATTTTTAATACTTATTTTATGGACTCATACAGTCTTTCTGTATGAAGATTTTATCTATACCTCAAAACAATGTGTACACTAATTACACAATCTGTAGCATCACCGTGGGTCACATATTTATGTTTCTCTGCATGCATATTAATGGTTATTATACACTAGGCATTATGGTTTACATAATCCAGACACTCTTGAATTCCATTGTTTTCTTTTAGAGATTGTTGAAATTTGTTCTTTCAAGCAGTTAAATTCCTGACCCATCACCTTCACCTTGAAACTTAATTTTTACACTTTTAGGGTTGGTCAGTGAAAAGCAAAGGTTTTACCAAGTGATTCTTACCTTTATCAACTTGAACTCCAAACTCAGTTAGCCTTGCACCAAGAAACCACTGAAATCTCTGCTTGTGTTTTTCAGCCTTTTACTGTAGTTTTCCATTGGCTCTTTGCTCTTTGGACTCTTCCCTATACAAACACAGTTCATGATTTAACCAAACATTTGAAGAAAGTTCATACCCATATTTTGGGGCAACTCTCACTTTGCATTGCTCCTTTCCAGGATACCTCTCTTCAACTTCTAATGATTCTGGCAATTATAGGCTTCTTATTTTTTTTTTTCAACATTTTAAGCCCATAGGATGGTGATTTTCTGTTGAAGTGCTTGCATTCCTCTTTTATGAAAACCAAGGAGTGTCTTAGGGGAAAAATCTTATAATCATGAATCTCACCCAGTGTACTCTCCTTTATTCAAAGATTGAATCCCCTCCAGTTTCTGACTGATTTCAGTCTCCTGTGCCTTCAAACAGTTATATTTTTAAAAATTTGTACTCAGTCTATAAGTACCTGTGGAGAGGATTATTCTGAAACAAACTGTTCTGCCACTATCAGAAACAGAACTAAAGACACACATTTAAAAAAAAAAAAAAACACACAGCTGCAATATTACGGGAAAAAAATACACATTTTTAAATGAAAATACTAGAAGACTCAACTCTTGTGAAAATTCCACTTAAAAAGCCCAACTAAATGTCATTTGATTATCACTATGTGCAGTACACTGTTAGCAACATGAACAATTTTTATAAAACATATAAATTTATTTTGGAAAGATGGCTTCAATAAGTTAATTATACATATACATTGGACAGAATTATTATGAAAAATCCAATAAAAAGTTTAATTAAGGATATAAATTATACATTTAATCATAGTTTTAAACTGCACAAAACTAATTTACATGTATTTTCACTTGAAAAATGTTTAATGTAAGATGAACATTGCATTTCTTTACAGTCTCAACCGTATTAGTTATTTCTGCTGCAGAAATGGCAATGCATCTTTTTATTAAGTTTATTTTTGCTGAACCTGCAGTCTATTGAAAAACTCAGTTCTTGCCTTTCTTGAATCCTCAATGCTGAAATTAGGAATTTCTTTACCTTTTTGAACATTGTATTCACCCAAAATGCACCTGTAGGCCTAGTGTGATGTATGTTTTGCTTATTCAGAGAGGTGCTGCTTGTAAGAATGGCTGCCAGGGGCTTTGAGGTGTTTGTTATGACTTTATTAGTTTAGAAAAACCCATGTAAATCACCAGCTGTTTTTCCTATATCATATGAAAGTCAGATAAGCAACAACATTCTTAATATTTTGAGGAGTGACTTGGGAGCCATAAAACTTAAGTGAAATCTTATTTCCACACAACCTTTGAAATGGGCTTTACACTCCTTTTTTTTGGCACCCAAATTAACATACAATGTATAGTTAATGGACATTTATGTATTCAAGCTATTGTTTAGTTTAAAGATTCTTATCTCATTGGTAAACTTACATATATTCTATTTTTTATAATTATTAATAACATCACAAACCTGTTTTTGATTATCCTTAATTTTGTAAGAAACTGCTAAATTGTCTTCCAAAATAGCTATACTAATTTGCCTTCCCACCAACAGTTACCGAGAATTCTTTTTGCTTTACATCCTCATCAGTATTTGGTATTTTCAGTGTTCTGGACTTTAGCCATTTGAATAGGTTAGTAGTGGTATCACAATGTTGTTCTAATTTGCAGTTCCCTAATGACATGTTCAGCATGTTCACAAATATGTACCAAAGCCACATAATGGAAGAAAATATTGGCAAATCAAATACCCAACAAAAGACCTATATCTAGAATACAAAAAGACTCCTCAAAATTGAAAAATTAGAAAACAAACAACTTAATTTTTAAATGGGCAACATGCATCAATCCATACTTCAGTGTAGTTGACATATGGATGTTAAATATGTTGAATAAGCACATGGAAAATTTCTCTATATCATTAGCCATTACAGAAATGCAAATTAAATTCATGATTCAAATGGGGAAAAATGTTATGTTGGACTTCCTCAATATTTAAAAACACTTCCCAGGGCTGACAACAGAGTAAGGCTGGATTCTGTGAGGTCCTGTGTGTACTAGGGTAGTAGGCCTCCTCGGTCCTCCTCAAGACCATCATATTTACTCCTGACAGGGCCTGCATGCCTGCTCCATCTGCTGACCTGAGAATGGGCCCTCAGGTTAAGGCCACCATCTCCTGAGATGCCAGAAAAAGAAGTCAAGGAGATGCAGAGTTGTCTTTACCTGATGCCCATTAGTGAGGACTCTCGGGATTGACAGTGAGGGTAGATTTCTGTGAGAATCCATCTATCTGCGATGAGAGGTCCCCTCTGTCCTCCCTCTGTGTTCTCACTTTGATTCATGGCAAAGTCTAGGATTCCTCCTTCTGCTGAACCAATATTGTACTCCTGAGAAAAATTTCATCTCACTCAACCTCCAAAGATGGAAGTCCAGATATACCACACCAGGGAAACTGCTTGTGTCTTCTGAAGGCAGACAGCAAGCAGGGCAAGGCTGGGGTCCCCCTCTGTTAGCAGCAAAATGTCCCTCAGTCCTTCCTCAGAGGACTTAACTTGAAGCCTGGCCCCTTATCTGCTTATCTGAAGCCCCATGCTGCGGAGGAAGCCTCACACCCAGTCCCTCACGCTCCTAAGATGGAAGTTTGGAAATAACACATCTGGAAACCCTGTCTTGAGCTTTTGGAGGCTGACTTCAGGGGCAGGGTGGGACTGAGGTGCCCTGTATCTGGTGGGAGATCCCTTCTGCTCTTCCTTAGAAGCCCCACCTGGAAACCCAGGAAGACCTGGGACTCCTCCCTCTTTTGTCCTGAGTCAGGCCCCCTCAGATGATTCTGGGCTTCCCTCAGACTCCATTGATCAGGTCAGGTAACACCAGAAGTTTCTCAGGATCAAGCAGGACTGGGGCTCCTTCATCTAAAGTTGGAGGTCTCCTCAGTCCTTCCTTAAAGTCCTCCCTTTGATGACTTGCTGGGATCAGATTAAAAATGGCAAATTGAAAAGTATAAATGTCAAAGACAAAAAAAATACAAGAATCTAATGAGCTGGAATTAGGCAAATAACTCCCAAAAATGGCACCAAAAAATAATTCAAAAAGAAAAATAATAAATTAGACATCATCAATATTTAAAAATTTTATCTCTCTGAGAAAGAAATGCTTAAGAGAAGACAAAGTCAAGCTACAGACTGGAAAACAATATTTGCAAATCAACTTAGGATCTGTATCCAGAATATATAAAGGGCCCTTAAAATTGAAAAAAATAAAAAGAAAAGAGAACAATTTTTAAATGGGTAGAATATACTTCACTAAAATTAATGTATGCATGTTAAATAAGCCCATGAACCTGCGTCCTTCACTACGGGCACAGCCGACGGGTTGCCTGAGACTGAGAAGAACGCAGGGGAGTCCGAGAATACCTATATTCTGCGGCCCATTTTCCAGCAAAGGCGGGTTCAGACCTTCTGTGGTTAAAGAATGTATCCATGCTGTTCTTAAGGAGGAGCTAGCAAATGCTGAGTACTCCCCAGAAGAAATGCCTCAGCTCACAAAACGTTTATCAGAAACCATTAAAGACAAATTAAAAGAAATGGGATTTGACCGATACAAAATGGTGGTACAAGTAGTGATTGGAGAACGAAGAGGTGAAGGAGTATTCATGGCCGCTCGCTGTTTCTGGGGTGCTGACACTGACAACTACGCTTACGCTGTTTTCATGAATGACAGTTTATTCTGTGTTGTAGAGGCATTCGGCTGTTTCTACTATTGAATCTTTGAAAAGTTGGGTAAAAATATGACCATGAAGAAATATAAACTTTTTTATATTGTTAAGTATCTCAACAAAATAAAGATAATTTGGCATTTTGGCAAAAAAAAAAAAAAATAAGCCCATGAAAACATTTTCTACATTATTAGCCATTAAAGAAAAGCAAATTAAAAACACAGTAAGATACAACTTTTGAGAATAGATTTTTAAAATGACATTTACATTACTAAGCACCAACAAGGATGTACAACAACATGAACTCTCATGGATTGCCCCAGTGAATGTAAAGTTGAACAGTCACTGTGGGCAATGACTTTGTAATTTCTTATATACATACACACTTATCATTTGACTCAACAACCTCATGCCTGGGAGAAATAAAAACTTATGCTCACCCAAAAATCTATACATGATTGTCTGTGATAACTCTATTCATAAATGACAAAAGCTGAAAACAATCCAAAGTCCTCACAAGGATGAATGAATTAATGAACTGAGGTGTATGCATATAATGGAATACCACTAAGCAGCAAAAGGGATAAACTACTGACACACAGAACAATTTAGAAAACTCTCAAAGACTGTTTACTAGGTAAGCAAAGCCAGTATCATTAAGTTATAGACTCTATTACTTCAATTATGTGACACTCTTTGAAATATATAACTACGGATGTGGAAAACAGATGAGTGATTTTCAAGGTTAGGTGTCATTCAGGGTTAGGCATCAGAAAAGTATATAAATGCAAATAGCACATGGAAGGGTTTTTAATTTTTTTGTAGGGTGCAGTTATGGAACCATTCAGTATCCTGATTATGGTGGTGGTTACACAAATCTAGACAGAGGTAAAAATCTTGGCACTGTACACCAAAGAAGTATTATTGTTTGCTATTTAAAAAAATAAAATGAAAATGGAAAAGAAGGTAACTAGATAATTAAAATAATGTCAGAAAAAATTAACTTCATGAGAAGGGAAGTTACCAAGAATAAATATCATATTACATAATGTTAAAAGAGTCAAATTATCAAGATGACATAGCAGTCCTTAATATGTACAGACTTAAAGCAGAGTTGCAAAACACATTAACTAAAAAAAAACTGAGAGACTGGGAAATAAGAAATAGTTGAAGCTACAATTATATTTGGAGACATCATCATTCCTCTCTGTATAAATAATCAAATAATTAAAACATGAAACCTGAAAAAGAATATTAACCAAATTGACTTACTTGGCATTTACAAAACACTCCAACAGTAAAATGTACATTCTTTTCAAGTGCACTCAGAACATTCACACAGATTGTAAAACACTTGACAATTTTTTCAAAAATGGAAATTACACATTTCTCTACCCATTATAGAATTAAAGCAAAGAATAAAACTAAAGAAATATGTAAAAAGTCACCAAATTTTTGGAAACTAAATAACACATTTTTACCAACCCTACCTGAAAGAAATTATTCAGGAACATTAGGAAATATTTCCAACTAAATGAAAATGAAAAGAGGACACATCCGAATTTAAGGGATTCAGCTAATGCTATGCTGAAAGGTAAATTTATGTCATTAAATGCTTTTATGTGGCTTAATAAAGACCCAAATATTTCACCTTAAGTATAAAAAGAAAAATCAGTCCAACCCAAGTAAACCAGAAGAATGGGAATAATATAGATAAGAGCAGAAAGAAATCAATGAAATTGAATTTAGAAAAACAATGGCTGTCTATGAAACAAAATTGGTCCTTTGAAAAGATCGAAGAAGCTAAAATATCTGCTGCTGTTCTGAGAAATTAAAATTAAAAGAGGTCGAGAAACAATGGTGTAGGACCTAGCTTAAAGTATAAGGTACAATATACAGAGAAAGGGACATATCACCCAATTGCTTTCAGAAAGCGCAAAAATGACAAAAACCTGTCATAATCAAACTTTTGGCAGTGCCAGAAAACCAGGCAGCAAAACTGGAATTCAGTGCATTGGGTATATTAGGGTCCACACAGATAGAAGCCTGTGTAGGAGCATGATGAAATCCCTGTCTAGGGAAGGGTCTTCCATCCACTGTGGTCAGGAAAAGCCTAGAGTTCTGTGTTTGAGTGCGAGAATCCACTGCCCTGGGGGTCAAGGAAAGAAAGCATGCTGAGTTGGTAGGGACTCTGGGCTTAACAATCCTTATTTTGATCATATAATTTTGCCTTCCTCAAGCTCATAGGTCAGATTCTTTTTGAAGGCTTCCACTGGAATGAGAGAGGTCCCGCTTCTAAAATTTTTACAGTGTCCACCAGTTAGATATTGTAAGCATCATGGATAACTGGCCTCCAGGTATTCTGGCCCAAGTTGGCCTCAGTCTTGCTCTGTTTGCTATGAAAAACTTTAGTTACTGCACAGCAGCCAGCTTCCTAAAACAGACACACTAGATTAGAGGAAGGAGTAAGTGTCTGGGTATTGATAGGTAATAAGCTGAGACCTGAATGAAGGATGCCAAGAGCAGAGCTTTAAAGTGATCTAAGATAGTAGATGTGAGATTGAAATCTCATGAGCACTGTAATATATAATATGAACCACAAATACACAGGCATGTACATGGGCAGGTATATACATATATCTAAATTTAAGAAAATGCAGGAAAACTTTTTCTTCTTGTTTACCATTATAGGAGTACCTTTTCCCTTTAAAGTATTACCTAGATGTATTATGCCTTTTTTTATTTTGGTTGCCAAGTGTGTTCACAGGAAAGGGATGACATTCTGTAACATGTAGATTTCTATACAACACTCTACTAATGCAGCTTAGTCTAGTCTCTAGCCTAGTAGCCTCTCCTAGAGTGAGACCCATGGTTCTTATCATTTACCAGACTTATTTACCTGGATGTCCCACTCAACTTCATCAACTACATGGCCCACCGTGATATCATCTGCCACACCCTTCTTCATGTTTACTGTAGTTCAAATTGTCACCAATTCTTTCTCCTTTATCATCAATGTCATCTGGGAGGAAAGATTTCTGCCTAGTCAGCAAAGATAAGACCTCAGAATCATTATATATTATCCTATCATTTCATAATTGCTAATTTCCTAATATTTTCTAGAATCTGTCTCCCGCTTATTTCTCACATCCACAGCTTGAATTATGTGTGTTATCATTTTCCTTTGGTTTATTTCCTTGGTGTTTCTTCCCAGCATATGTTCAGTAAATCCTTCCTGACTGAAAAGATGAATGAAAGAATGATTGATTGAGTGAATGACTGGGTGAATGAATGAAAGAAAAGTCACATGTTTTGATTCAAAATGTGGAATGTGAGCCCTACCTAGGCCTTTGAACTCCATGGAAGAAATTGAAAATGCTACAGATGGCTTCAGAATTCCCCTAGGAAACTATTACTGAGTTTGACATTATGGACTTCTTGTACCCAGCCCAAGCACTGTCTTGGACTTGGGGGTGTTCTCAATATCATGATACATGATACTTCTTGCTTTGGACTCTACATACACCCATCAGTTTAACAAGGAAGAGTGGCATCTCCACGGGTTTCCATCCACCATGCAAATGTCGGCACCTTGGGACAATCCTCTATCTGGTAGCAAGATAGACCAATAGTCATAGTCTAGGACACCTGCCCTCTAGTGTGTCAACAGCTCAGAATCTGGGGGAGGCAGCCTGAGCCAGGGACAATACCCAGACCTATTTCAAGGCATGTCCACACTCAGCCCTTTACCTGCCAAGTCAACAAGGTGATTAGTCCCAGGGCATTACCCCTCCAACCACCCCTGTCCTTGCAGGTGCACACTCCCTTCCCCTACTCACTAGTGTTTCTGGTCTGTCCCCACTCTCAGACATCAGTCATCACCTCCACCCACTCACATAGCCCCAGCCTCTGCAGAGGGGTCCACTGTGCACAGAGGAGACACATCCTAGCCTCCAGCAGGCACCAGGACACCTCTCAGTGCTGGGACATAGGCAAGAGTGCACTGGACCCTTGTACTCAAGAGTATTCAAGAGTGTTGCTCAGCCAGATGATGCAGGGAGCAGCTGTGCTCTTCCTGACAGAACTTAGGGTGGCCCTAAGGTAGGGGCTGGTGTCTGCCATGCTGTGGAGTCACTCCTCCATTGACCTCTTTACTCAGACCACACTGAGACTTCCAGCCAGTAATGATGATTCTGACATCTCCCAAACCTATTCATGAAAGATGTCCTGTACAACCTTCACTCCCCACTTACCACCCGGATTCCTAACCAACTCTGACAGAAGGAATTACAGTTTCTCAGAGCCCCAAAGTGCCTTGGCTTGGGACCTTTTTACTTGACTCCTCCCATCTGGAGTCTCGCTTCCTCATTCCTTTTTCTTGTTCTGTAGCTCTTGGAGGACATCTCACCATCTTCTTGATATGATTGATGCTACTGGCCTCTACCATTTTTTGGGTAGGGGTCTGTCCTGTTGATCCTAGGATCCCCACTAGTACAACAGGACCTTCCAAAGAGATGTTTGGTGAATGCAAGAGTCAGTGAGCAGGGACTTTATAAAGATTTCATCTACTTTCTTGAATAGGCCAAGCAAATCCAAGTATATATTTTTAATTTTCCAGAATGGTGGACTAGAAGGTATAAACAAACCCAAGGATAAACCATCCCTTACATTTTCACCTCTGTTTATTTAACCCTATATTTTACTGATCAGCTCTTTCACATTTCCAAAGAAATTTCTATTCCAATGTTACCTTGTACCAGGTCCCCCATAAGATGGGAGGTTTCCCAAATTTTTGCAAAATATTGAAACTCTTATTCTTAAACCTGAAAAACAGCAATAAATGCATTACTAATGTCATTCAAAACTTAGAGTCTTTAAGGATTAAACTTTCCATTGAAAGGGACATTTGGAAAATATCAAGAGAAAAAAAAAGAGAAACTTCCAAGTCACCCATACAGAATGGGAACACAAGTTATACACCGTGTTCTCCCCAGCCTCACCCTGACTCTCCTCTACTCAGAGCCAAGACTGCCCTCCTCAAACACAGAGTGATGATTCAGCCTCACTCTTCAGTTGGGACAGGAAAAGCTGTTGACCAATGTTGGGTAAGGAACATGGTAGTAGTATTATCCATGGAGCCGATTCTGGC